CATGGACTTTGCAATTATAATCATATGGGATGCAGAGGGGGGATCATTTAGTGAGCTCAGTGCTCACTGAACCTCTAGTTTAATCAGACGTTGGCAGCATGATATTCCTTTTTAAGAGATGATGAAAGTGGAGAATCCAACAGAAAATGCTCAGTGAACTTACAATATAGAAACAAGAGGCCCATGTGCCACATTGCTCACCTGAGTAACTTTGGCCATTCTGTTTCCCCAGATATTTCCCCATTTGTAATACCGTTTGTATCCCTGGCCTATCCTGAGTGGTCATTAGATTTAGAATCTACACAACCTAAGAATGCTTTCACATAAATTTCAGCTTTTCTGGCCTAGTGGTTCTTGAGAAGATTTTTAAAGTGTTTTCCTATATTTTATGTATGTGAAACTTTGATTCCCTATTGAGGCCCCACCCTTCACCAGTGGGTCATGATTTGAACAATCTGAAATCAACACTACCCCTGGATGCTTCCACATAGGTTTCAACTTTTTGGGCCCCAAGGTTCTTAAGAAGAAAATTTTTTAAAATAGATTTATCCTCTATATTTCATTGTAAAACTAGGGATTTCCTATTGTGGCCCCGCCCTACCCCCAAAGGTTCCTGATTTGAACAATTCAGAATCTTCACAACCCCAGGATACTTTCTCATAACTTTCAGCTTTTCTGGCCAGTTGTTCTTGCAAAAGTTGTTTCATGAACCTGCATACTATTTGTGTTTTTTCTTGAACAATCTTTTTAAGGGGAATTGGTCCTTCATTTTAACTCCCTTTACCACGGGCATACACTGGACAACATATGATCAGAAAGCTAAGTTGAGGTTTCAGCTCAGGTGAGCTAAAAAGGGTCCTTGCTCTCCTGTTCTGTTATGTACTGTGAAATCACAAATTTTCCGTTGTTTTTGAGGTATGAAGAGACCCATGAATTCATGTCAACACGAAATGTAAAAACGCAACACACATAAGTACTCAATTCTTCACCCACAAACTAAGAGTTTTTATTCAAAACACGAAAATTTGACCCCACAAAAAATATGTGATTTTACAGTATATCAAATGATTAAAGACAATTCACTTGAATAATTATTTACCACTGTTTATTAATAGTCTTGCATGCTAATTTCAAAATACATTCAAGTCATACTAGAGGCAGTGCTATAACTATCATAATACAGAACTTGCAGACACAGAGAGGAAATAAATACACATAGTTATAAGCCCTGATGAATGTAAATACTGTTTACAATAATCCACAATTTTCATTCACTTGTAATTTATCTACATGTAGTAACTCCAGATGATATTGAAATTATTTTGTACATTCATCCATGGAATTTTACAAAACTTTCTCCTGACTAGGACTCCAGATTTCAAATTATCAAATAAGAATAATCTAATAAAAAATGATTAAAAAACAATTTAAAAATATTACGAAAGAAAAACTTGATTTTATATTATTCTCATTTTCAGCAGAATAATTGAATGGATATACATGTAAATAAAGAATAAAAAAAAGAAAGGCTGCCTTTAAACTGAACGGATTGGAATAAATTATAAACCATCCACTAAATCGCCACAAAGGGTCTATCTACAGTAGAAGAGGAACACAATTTACTCAGATCTTTTACACGTGTTCGGGATATAAGGAAAATAGCAACAGAATAAAAATAACTAATCAAAGTTGATTCCAATAGAGATCAGCTGACTGTGATCCAAAAAAAAATTCAGAGACTAAATGGCAATAGCACACAAAACAAAATATATAAGTAAATACATTTATTTTGTTAAAGACAGTATTAATTTATTTTAATTGTAGCCATTGTTTATTAAAATGTCAATATTTTTTTTTTTCAAATTTGTATAAAAAATGAGAAAACTGACATTCAGGCAAGTATCACAGGGTTATTTAGCACAACAACTACTCAGATCTCATTTCAAGAATAAAAGATACACTGTCATATCGTACAGAAAATACACCTACATTCCTGGCTGGGACAATTAATATGCCATTATAACGAAAGGCACTCCTTTTTAACTAAAACCCTGATTTATTCCATGTATGCTTTGTTGAAAATCTGACCATCTCAGAACTTGTCTCCTTACACAAAAATGATCATAATACACATAATATTAAACCATAGGTGATAAGTCATTTCTCAGCAGTTGTATAAATATCTTCACAAGCGACAACAAAAAGCTTATTTTCCCTATGTAGACATTTCCAGGTGGCCCCATGAACCATTAGGTGGCTACTGCCTCACCAAAGTCCCGAGGACTTCCCTCCCGGGGGGTTGGATGTTCTGATCTGAGCCCGACGCGGTGCCTTGTCATCAAATTGCTCACCTGTGAATGTAAATACCAGATCATTACAAGTATATGTATGAACAATTTGTAGGTAGTCTTAAAATCTACACTATTCCCCAAACTTTATATACTCTGTGCATATGTATTTATATGAAAATTATGTATGAGACATCACAAAATTAAAAGACCAGGTATTAAAAACAAAGCAAAAGACAAATGACACATAGCAACAAATTCTCTCCTATCTTACATTATTAACATAAGTATGTTTTTTAACAGAGAGTTCAATGAAAGCTAGATTTATACATGTATTTAACACTGCCAAACCACTGTACCAAGCATGATTTTCTATGCTGTCAATTAATTTCTTAACTGTCAAAAATCAATTGCACATATACAAAATTAACAACATATTCTTCAATCAACCAACATTTTCCTGAGACAGTTCACTGAATCAAGTGTAATTGTGTATTTATTCCTCAAAACATTTAAGTCAATACTATTCTATATCAATTTGTCTTCATATTTTACCTCTTAAAAATCATATTCAATTATTGCAATTAAAACTAACAAGTTATAGATTTTTGGGGATATAAGTAAACAAATTAGAATATATTCTTTAAAGTATTGGAATTTGATCAGGTAATACAGATCATGCAAATTAAGAAGTTAGATTCTGTGTTGGTTATATTTAAGATACTTTTGTTATATATGAACACCCATCAACCTGTTCAACATTTAATTCTGTTATCCCACACCAATTCTTTTCTTATTTCTTTATGGAGAACATGCTATGAGCCCCATGCCAATTTTCAGTTAGAGTAAAACTTGAGGACACTTACTTTGAAATTCAAATGTACATCTAAATTTCTAAGAACTTTAATTCCATTGATTAAGGAATGGAAAATCGGTTTTTTATTCATCTGATATTTCAATTTCAGGTTAACCTATGTAAAAAGTACTAACAAAAAAATTACAAAGATTAAATAAAAATTTTTACATAAAGCATGCATATTTCTTATTAAAAAGCCAGAGGGAAATTCTGGTGTATCTAAGAAATAAAATGTACAAAAATATCTATTCAAAACCAAAAGAAAAAAAAATTCACTTAAATGGAAAAGACACCAAAATTTCACCAGTGAGTTAGTAAGCTTACCACTAAGAGCGAAAGAGGAATCTTGTAAGTTTCGGCCACCACCTCTAGTCGGGGGTCTGCTGTGCTGGAACTGACTTGTATCAGCCACAATGGGGTTCTCCTCCCTCTTGACTGCGGGGGCGTCACCATTGGTGGCAATCTTGGCCACTGGACCTGTGTATGGGTCTCTCTCTACCTTCTGTGGCATATTTGCCTAAAAATTTGGAAGTAACTGTATTAAAACAAACTTCTTATTATTTTTAACATTATGATGAAATGGTTAAATATTATTTTTCACTCTTTCCATTTCATTATAGTCCATTTTTAAAGTTTGCAAATCTTACCAGTTCTCGTTTAGCTAATCTTCCATATACCACTTCTGAATTGCATGGAGTGGGAATAAATCGGCCCATTCCTTGAGTTACTTTCAGCTTTGAAAGAAAAGGGAAACATGTTACAATATTCTTAACATTTATGTAACTAAAAATATTTAATTCGATAAATGAAAAACATACTCTTACTGAGAGTTACCAACATAAAGCCAGCATTCTTTCCAATATAAAGGACATGGAATAATTTTCAACTAGTTTTCTTAGGTTCTTGATGAGAAAATATTTTTAACAATTTTTTTTTTCATTTTGAATTATAGAACCAATGCACTGTATGTATTTTTGTAAAAAGTCAAAATCCCTAATATTAAAGTAAAGACATTTTTTAAAAGTTGTGTGGGAATAAATCGGCCCATTCCTTGAGTTACTTTCAGCTTTGAAAGAAAAGGGAAACATGTTACAATATTCTTAACATTTGAAGTGATGTCTTTTTTTTTTAATATTACCAGAACCTAAAAATATTTAAATCAATAACCTTGATGAAAAACATTGTCAAAGAAAGTTAACTCTTACTGAGAGTTACCAACATAAAGCCAGCATTCTTTCCAATATAAAGGACATGGAATAATTTTCAACTAGTTTTCTTAGGTTCTTGATGAGAAAATATTTTTAAAAATTTTTTTTTCATTTTGAATTATAGAACCAATGCACTGTATGTATTTTTGTAAAAAGTCAAAATCCCTAATATTAAAGTAAAGACATTTTTTAAAAGTTGTAAATTGAGTTACCTGCCCCTCATCCAATACTACATTTCCATTTGTAATGACATACAGGGGGACACCATGACAAACCATTCCTTCAAATATATTAAAGTCTACAGCCTGGTGATGAGTTTTAGCGGAAATAGTTCTAGTCTCCTTGGGATCCCAGATCACTATGTCAGCATCAGATCCTACTGCTATACGGCCCTGTTGTCAGGAGAAATTCACAAAATTAAATGCCATGTCAAGAGGTAGAATTGCTTTCTTTCCTTTTAAAATTGTATACTTTATATATAATATGGGAATTCCCCAATTATTAGTTATTGTAAACAATATTGAGTAAGGCAAAGATCTGAGCAGAAATCTGTGCAATTTAAGCTTCAACAAGTATGTGAAGAAATCTTTATTAGATGAATCAAAAGAAGAAAATAACCTTTTGTGGGTAAATATTAAATATCTTGGCTGCATTAGTACTAGTTACAGCTACAAATCTACATGGATCCATTTTTCCTGAATGCTGAAAAAAAAAATTAAAAAATCATCAAATACCATTATTCATTCACATCCACTGCACAATTCTACATGTATGTTTTCATTATCCTGTCAATATCTGGCCATTTTAAATATTACAACATTTTTAATCACAGTGAAGTAGATTTACTGTCCAGAATACTGACCACTCCCTTCTCCCAGATGACTGACATCCTATCCTCTACACCATTAACTCCATTAGGGATTTGACGGAAATCATCTTTACCTAGAGCCTTCTGGTCAGCATTGAATGTACAGTTATCTGTCCCCGTAACTTGTAAGTCATTACTGAAATAATAGAAACAAGTACAGTGTACAAGTACCTCAATTCATGATAGAACAAAGTACGAAGAAATGAACAGCATTACAATTGTAAAGAAGTTCTAAGGTAAACAAGGTGTGTTTATTGAGGAAAATGTCACAGGAGTAAATTATATCTGATCTTCACTATCAATATAGCCTTTAGATAAAGCATTGATCTTAAAGCTGACCACATAAAGAGTTTCTATTAGAAACAATCCAAAAATTTTAGCAAATGAAGATGTGCATGGGCAGCCACATGAATATTTAGGCCATCCAACAAAACCAATTTAAAGGTAAAGGGCTCAATAGAATATGACTTGGTACATACTTTGCTAGGAGATCCATTAAATAGCCTGGTGTTGAGGAGTCAGGCCTGAGAGGGGGACCCATTACATGCCCGGCAGCATGTCTCCAGCACTTATTCCAGTAGTGATTCCCATCTGTACCCAGACTAGCAGCTATGGGCTCTCCAAACACAATTTTACCTTAAATATGCACAGACAAATTTCAGAAAACATAGCAAAAACTGCATCTATTTAAAAATTATCTCTATTCATTTTAGAACATTTTGAACAATACTTAGTGTAGAATGAGAAGGTGGAAAATAAGCCTGTACTGAATGATGAATTGTCTAAATGGACTGTTTACCTTGTCTCCTTGCCTTAGACACTACATCTGCTGAGGATTTACTCATGACATGGACTATGTACAGTGGACAGTTGGCCTGGTTAGCTATGGTGATGGCTCGTTGAGTGGCCTCGGCTTCCACCTGGCCAATAAACACAACAGAATTTACAATCTCATGGCACATTATAAAAATTTCATTACAATTTCCTTTTCCAAATCACAACGATAGATAAATACTTCAACTGAAATACAGATTAACTTTTTTCATCTGTTGCCCAAAATTAAGATTAGAATATTGATGCATTTGAAGTATACACTGTTGCCAACACTAATTTTATATTCATTTATATGTGCAGCAAATTTTGAAAAAAATAGTAGTCTTAGTACTCCTTAAAGTAACTTGACACAGGTTCTTCAAAAACTGTATGGATTGAGTTCTAAATAACAAACCTCCTCTGGGCGACACATTTCATGGCCTTCTGGGCCTGTGATTCCCATTTTCACCATTTCCTTTGATTTCTAAATAAAAAAAAAATAAAAATATTAAAGTATTCATGAGAATTGTTAAAATTATCAAATCTGACTCTTAAGCATTTTACAAATATTACAATAAAACTCTCACCTCAGCAATAAGATGACCATTCTCTGCATGCACCATACCAAGGGCCCCTAACTCTTTACAGCGTTTAAATGACTCATACAGTTCAGTGTCATTCAACATAAATACATCTTTGTATGCAAGGAACATCTTAAATGAGTTAATTCCTGAAAAAGAACAAGGGATTTTTTATCAGATGTACTTCTCAAATGCATGTTGCACTATGCCTAATCAAACTGTCTAGATCTTGGCATCAAAAATCTCTTTTATAATATATGAAAGTAAAGCTGATTTACAAAATGTTTAACTCAAGTAATTAACAAAATATTGAAGAATTGCTTCCATGAAGAAATAATTCATTTTATGAACTACACATGTATCAGTTCCCCTATTTTTCAAATTATGGTACCTTTCTCGGAACAGAGAGTTTCCATTTCCTTTGACACCTGCTCGCTCCACCATGTCACACCTACATGGAGACCATAATCACAGCAGACCTTACCGTCCGCCCAACCTCTCCACTTATCATAGGCCTCCAGCAGAGACACTCCCTTCTGATCCAGGACAAAGTCAACTGAAATCATAAAGATAGGAAAAACCATTAGTCTCATGCATTAACACTCAATCCTTACCCAACCTACAAAATGAGAGATATTTGTCATGCTTTGCAGCTTCAGAAAATGTCTTCATATGTTGATAATTTCTTATTTTTCTTACGAAGTAAATACTGAAAGGAGAACTTTTTTGGCTTCATGTACTTTAATTGAATTTTTTTTTCTTAATTTGTAAAACACAGTACTTTTAATGACACTTCTAGAAGTACTATGTTTACTGAGATCCTATGCCTTACTGATCATAGTGGTTCCTCCAGCCAGGGCGGCCTTAGTACCACTGTAGAAGTCGTCCACTGCATGAGTCCCCATGAACGGTAACTGCATGTGTGTGTGGGTATCGATACCACCTGTAGTTAACAATTGTACACTAGAAAACAAAAACTATTACCGTTTCTCTTCAATCTTTTTAGCTTACATTATTACTCCTCAGAATATACCTTCTATGCAAAAGCTTTCTCAATCATTATTAAATGAAACTTTTCCGTTGCTCTTGTTATTAGGTTATATTCTACTTACCTGGCATGACAAGTTTCCCCCTGGCTTCAATTGTCCTAGCACCCCCTGGTATAACCAAGTTTGTTCCAACTTGTCTAAAATAAGCATGTCAACATATTCGTTTGTCGGTTTATCATCATTTATTGAATTGTGTTAGATATTCTTTGTGATTTTGTACATTTATCTTAATAAAATCAAAATGGAACAGTAGATAAAACTCAAAAGAAGCCTTGAATGTAAAATTGCTTCATTCTTACTTGATAATGCCATCTTCTATGTAGATATCTGCATCAAAAGACTGGTCATCATTGATAATTTTTCCTCCTTTAATTAGCAGTCGAGACTGAGCACTCTGTAAAGAAAAAACACAGGAAAATAAGATTTCTACATCTGAATATATAATCTAACTAAACATTCAAATAATACTGTCACTTGGATGTTCTACTGAAAATACAACTCCTACATGCATTTATCCAGTCTCTCACAATAATCTTTTAATCTCATTGGTCCAAAGGAATATTCTATAAACCCATCTTATTATCCCTACAGACAGTAATTTATTTCTCATATCCCCCTATTTGTTAATATCTACTGGCTACTGATCAGATAAAATCTGTGTCCAGCTCCTGACTGGACCTATCTGACCAGATATTAGTTCCATATATCACATTTACTTCACCTTATGAGCCTAATAACTGATGCAACATGAATAGACAACCTCACAATGTAAACAATGGGTAAGTAACACTTTTTGGTCATCACAAGCTAAAAAATTATCACCAAAAGTAGAGATCAACCCTTACTCTGTGCTGATCACAGCTGCATATCCACCCCTCACATTTATGATCCTCCCCCGGAGATCTAGCCATCTCCTGACCATCCCCCACCGAGCGCTGCTCGCTATTTAAATCCGGGAAGTTATTCAGGATTTTCCTAAACACATGCGGTAAAGAGCACATAACTCCGCCACACGATTTTTACCAAAAACAGATTTTAATCTATTTCTAGCCACTTCCTGCAGCAGGCCTGACTCAGAGCCTTATTAAGCTATTCCATACTTCATAATAAGTGCCTGTGTAATTAAATGTTCTTGGGTAGACAATGAGACAATTAGCTGATCTAGAACCTGTGCATTTCCCTTAAAACCTAAGACTTTGTGATTCAGCAAAATCAATATTTGCATTGCTGCAACAGACCTGCAGCCAAGCAAATGATCAGACATTATCTTAAAATCAATTTCAATGACTGAACTCTGAAGTCGACAAAATATTAATGCCAAGCATAACTACTGCCTCAGAGTAATTTTATACAATTTATAAAGATTTTTGTCATTACATAATACTCTGAAGTACTGCAGCAGCAGTGAACATGGAAAGATTTGCTACTTGTAGTTAAACCACTAATGATAAATGAATAATGAGTTATCTCCCTTTTACTCATCTTAAACTATTGATCAGCATTAATATCTAATGTACTTTTAGGATAATTCATATGAAAATAAAATCAATAATTTTTCACTCTTGTAATCAAGACTATCGGTATATAGCAATGTACACGCATTACACACTTTTATTAGTAGTGTATTTCAGTATGGCTATGCATCACTGCCATCAGTTAGTTACTCTAATACACAGCTCTATGTTGAATCAGACCCCTTGATAGACCCTTGGTTTATTATGACAGAGTGTCTCCTGCCCCAGACAAAATCAATAAACTACAGCATTCTTTTTCAACAGTTCCTGATAGAAAGCCCATCTGTTGTGCAAGGCATTGTAGGCCCAAGATTTGCAACACTTGAACACATGACTAAAACATGAACATTTTCATAATGTTTGAATTAAATTATTTTGCTCTGTGTGTTAATGTCTGTCATGTTTAGTTTAATTTAGGGGTGTTTACAGTTCCAGTGTAATTTTCCTAAAATTTGATTGATTGCATGCTTGTCTTAACTTGCATGTTAAAAAAGTAAATCTGAATTTTATGCAGAAAGATAAAAAAACACTCCCAGCTGTGCATACAGTTATATTACCCTCAAACCATTCTATGTATACACAGTATACCTATCTAAAAACATGGAAAACAGCTCAGCTCTTAGTCTCGACACATAACTGTTTCACTTCACTCCAAACAAAATTATCATTGCCATTTAATGTTTCTCAGATGTTCAGGCAGTTTAATAAGCATTGGCACATAGGGACCGCCTGCATTGAATTTTTATGAAAAATTCTACTACATGGTGTAGAAATTCTCATTATAATGAAACAAGTAACACGTACAAGACACGCAATGCACTATCCCTCATAGCCCCACTCAGATATAGGTAATCCTCATCAATCCTCTATTTTCCCCCTACTCAGGTAAACATAACAGTGTTACCCCTCTAACCTACCATGACCTTGTCCATCAACGTTTCCATCTACAGGGTTATAATGTTACTGAGCTAAGCCACTGAGGGCGTAATCCTGAGGTAAAACCTGTTTATAAAGCTGTCAATGTCATGCAACACTCACTGGAGGCTTATATCCTAGCTGATCTTCAGCAGTTAGCATGTTTACTTGCATTAGCCTCAGAGAGATCCGTGATTTACAATGTGTGCTGCAGCTTCCTTTCACATTCAAATCTACGTTCTAGATGTGCGGATGCATACAAATTGCACACCCCCTTGCCTCCCCTTTCATACAAATAGAGAAGCATATTAAAATGACCATACATTTGTAATATACCAGTATAGCAAATAATCCAAATTCTAAATAAAACTTGAGTTAATAGTCCCAATTAATCACCATTTTATTTTTCTTGACAATGATCAGTGACTTTCCTAACCGTCCTTTTCATGAAAGTGGCACAGCTTTTTACAATCTATCAGCCAGGTATAAACATGTACAATAACATTTAATGGCTCTAAACAAATATTGACGCCAGCCATCACCCCATAAAACCTACACAACACCTCCCGAGAACTTGACAATACAAGACTCTAGATAGCTCCAAAATAACCCCTCCAGGGCACAATTTTTGCTTATACAGCCCTGTTTCCATATATTATCTTTAAAAACAAACATGAGTCTTTCCCCCAAAAGATTATCAGCAGTTAGTGTGGTGTCAGTTTCACCCCCCTCTTACCCGGTTTTCCGTAGCATTCTCCATGTTTTGCTGGTGAACTAAGGCCCTAGTCCTGGGTCACAGTCTTAGATCTATAGTCCTCAGAATCCTAATAAACTCTCACGCTTTGATGATTTAGGCCGCAAAAGGTACAAATTATTCCCAACTTATGATAAGGACGGTTTTTAAAGTTTCTGGGTTTCTATTCCCTTATACCGGCAAAAATACAGAGAGGGGCCCCATTCAGAACAGGATATTATTTAATCTCGGAGTAATTATTTGTCTCGGAATTCAAGTAAATCATCATTTCAGGTGTAGTGCCTATATGTAACCTTAGTTTTTCTCGAAATATCAGTTTCCACTGTAGTAGATGTTGACTAAGTGGGTAAGTGTGTATCTGGGTACCAAATATATTTAATTGAAATATGTTGACTAAGTGGGTAAGTGTGTATATGGGTACCAAATACATTTAATGAAATATTGCAAAGTTGTTGTTTTTAAATATTTTTTTTTCATGTTTCTGTTCTCTTTTAATTTCAAAATTTTATTTTTTTTTTTTTAAATTATTTTTTCTGCAATAGTTTGGTATTGTGCAGTGAATCTGATGTTATGCTTTAGGGGTTAGTCAGTTTCCCATGCATAGCATGGACTAACCCATTTGCGCATGCGTTACTCTCGGGGGTTAGTCAGATTTCCATGCATCGCATAGACTAACCCATCTGCGCATGCCTCAATATTTACTCGCTAATCTCTGCATTTTCCTTCGTATAAGCGGCAATATTAAGTAATCCTTGAAAACGATCCGTCTATTAATTAAGCTACAATCCCACCGTAATCGCTAAAGTTACTCCCGAGTCCGAAATATCTGTTGAACATAGTCAACAACGATGTCCAGCTGTCCATGAATGAAGACTTAGAAATACTATCGCAGCAAAGAACAATACATACCGATTCGTATATTCGATGCACACTGCAAACATTTACCATTATTTTTGACAATCGTGACATTTAAATCCAAAGAAATGATCAGAAATAACGCGGCGATGGAAACACTACCAACTTCCAGCAACTTCCTAATGCAGACTACCAGTGCTCCACGTCACGCTGTGAAAAATGACGTCACGGGTACATTGTTTTCCCGAACTTTTCCAATCGGCAATCCTCGGCTCCATGTGCGAGTTACGAGTCATCCGAGGAAGTCCGAGTGGAGAGCAAAATGGCGATTGAGCATTCTGCGTAATATAAGGTTTCCTGTCTTTGTTATTTATCAGATGTCCTCTAATTTTTTTGTAAAATGTTCTCCTTTAACCAGGCAATTAAATATTACAAGGGGAAAGCGAAACTGGAAAGTCTTCAGTACAAAAATCGGTCTTAGAAATTAGAAGATCTATGATCCGCCCAATGTTTCACCTCTAGTTAAGAGGCGCATATTTAGTGTGCAAATCTTGAGATTGCAAGCTTTGGTGACGTCACGCTCTATATTGCAGTGACAGGGAAAATGATAGGCATACATGTATATCAAAAATATACAGACATATAGCATCATCGTTCTTGAGAGGATAGAATTTTAACTAATATGAAACTTGATAAATAAATAATAAAATAAATAAATAAAATAAAGAAAAAGAAAAAAGAATTGCCCAAATTCGAAAAGCGGGGGGGGGGGGGGGGGGGGGGGGTTAGGTTTTTTTTCACATTTTTCTGTTCTTCTGTTCGTTCATACACAGCACCCATACTTTTAATATTAACGAAGCAATCAAAAAGGATGTCAGGGTGTGTGTGTGTTAAAGAGGGGGGGGGGGGATTAGGTTTTTTTCTTCACATTTTTCTGTTCTTCTGTTCTTTCATGTTTTAGCTTTGGGAACACTTCATGAGACAGGATGTTTCTCTCTGCTCTCATGTCTAAAGATCACATGATAAGAAATAGTCAAACTGGTTAAGTACCTAGCTCAGAGTACCCCCACCCACCCCCCCCCCTCCGGCCTTATTTAAGTATTATTAATTCATAAAAAGGATGCAGTGTATAATATAAACGAATTGGACTAGTAATATCAATTTATGAAAAGAATACAGTGTTTATATATTAAGCTGATTTTGCAGGTTCGTAGCCTTTTCTGCTTTCCTGGATTACATGTATTTTTTTTTTTTAAAAGACTGACCACCCCTTCCCTCCGTAAATGGATGACTATTTGATTCTGAAAGGGGCTGGCAGATTTATTTTTTTTACGGTGTGTAAAATAATAATATTTACTTGCACACCAGTGCTTCAGGAACAGAAAAAAGCGCAATTCAACTATAGGATTATTTTCAGTTATTATTTTAAATTTTATGGGTAATAATAGCAAATAATGCACTATTCAGCAACTTTTCTTTATTAAACCTGCTTAATGGATATTGTTGAAATTATATTATACTCAATTATACCAGTATTAATTAAATGTGTTGGAACTGTGATACGTGTACATCATTACTGTACCAGAAATATTATCAACCTTATAGCACGGACATATATCATTTTCGACTGAACTTATTTTATTTATCTGTCGATATTATATTAAAATTGAAAAACGACTCATGAAGACAAACGGATTAAATTTCTGATACCAGTCGGTGCATATATTAGACTATACTGAGAAATATGCGTCCACCCCAGATTTAAAATGAAAAAAAAATTGATAGGGGGATCCAGCCCCAAGTGCCTGTGACCCAAAAGTAAGGCATGGTATTGAAGAATTCCAGTTTCATTCCATCTAAATCTAGAAAAAAAAACGGCAAGTCACGGTCTTCAACTTAATTTTCCAAGGCTAATATGTCAATGCCGTCCACTGAGCATTTCAGTTATTTATGACAGCCTTCAATTTTGGATACAAACTACACAATCATGTACCAATTTGTACGATATCAGGTCTATGGGATTTATTACTTTAAATTTTTTGAAGTGCATGAACATTTTACAAAGTTGTATATAAAGCTGGGTCAGAAAATGATGACATCCCCATGTATCTAGCTAGAAGTTTACTAACTAAAACGTTTAAGATATATTTTAATTTTAATATTGTATTCATTTACATATTTTCCTTGCTATTGATATATAACACTTTTTTTTGACAAAATCATCTCTGAACAACCCATCATCTCAAGCCACGGTCCGGAGTCCGCATATAGCTCTCTCCTAGAATGGGAGAGGATCGTACATTTTGGCCGTGGTTTGCGACGATGTGAACAACCGTACAGATGAATTTTCTAATGCTCCGTGTCAAAGATGTCGTAAGCGACGTCATGGACTTGAGCAATTTTCACACTACGACAGTCTTGTTGTGTTGGTAAAGGACTTCATAGTTTTAGTGTGCATGCTTTATATACTTGAACTGTAACTCTGTGAACTAATCCTGCATACTCTCATATAAGCTTTGGAAGCAAAAGAAAAAAAGAGAAGTACGTTAAAGAACTGAATCAAACAGTGTCATGAAGTTACAAATCTTTTGTATGTCAGTAAGTAATGAAATAAGCTTGCTTCCGACTCTCTCTCCCTCTCTTAATCTCCTTCATATTAATATTGCACTTTGATTGTCTTTATGTAGTGTATGCACCCTCTGATCCTTAAACATCCACTGTAGTATGCTAGCTAGCTTTGTAACATAACTGCATGGTGTGCGCTTTGTGCTTATGCGTATGGGTCACTAACCAGTTAATCGAAGCACTATGGATACTGGGGGTTCTAGCTAGTGCTACGTAATGTATAAAAATAGTTCACATACTTGGCAGTAGAAAGTAATAATTATTCAATCGATCTCATGCGTCAGCTATTTATGGAACCAATTTAATTAATATATCTCCAAGTTATACTGTAAACATACATTTAAACGTCTCTATAGCGCAGGGTTTGGTCCAAGACCGACTGCTTTTACCACTGCGCTACGAAGTATATGCATTATTAACGTTTGTCATTGTGATTTACATCAAAGGGTTTGTTGAAGCGTAAATTTTTTCAGAAATTTTCGATTTTCATATAGAATGGGTTCAGATTCCATTTTTTGGACGAATGAAATAGATTTCGTATTTATTCCATCATTTTTAAAAGCATTAACGTAGCTGCAGATCTACAGCTCTCCGAAAAAATATATAGTGATAGACCGGAGAGCTACAGTGCCACCCACTGGAAAAACTGTATATATTCATTGCGCACAAAAAAGTGCGCTCGGTTCTCGATTTATTTCTCCATTTGTTTAAAAGGCTGCATTTCATTTCCGGAATTTTTGGTAATTATCAACTTTTCATTTCCGACATTTTTTAGTTTTCATTTCCGACATTATTTTGTTTTCATTTCCGACATTTTTCAAATACATATGCTGTACACTGTACCTATAGTAAAAGATTTGATATCCACGAACTTTACTCATGAAAAATTTAAAGGAATAAATCGTAAATACTAAGTAAATCATTGAAATCCAATTTTGTAAATCTATTAGTGACTTGGACATAAGTTTGGTGCTGTCACTGACATTTAATTTAGTGCACACTAAATGTGGTAAAAATGTTTAATGCTCATTGAACTCTTTTATATACCTAGACTTAGTGCTATACGGGTACATGTATGCACACATGTATAGATGTTTTTTTTAATTATTATTATGAATTATTAACATTTTAGTATAAATACTTTTAAAATTCTATTTTCTTTTACTTAGAAAACATGGAAATGCCGCACAGGTAAATTCCGGAAATGAAAAAGAAATTATGTCGGAAATGAAAACAAAAAATGTCGGAAATGAAACAAAAAAATGTCGGAAATGCTATGCATATTTCCGGAAATGAAATGCAGCGTTTTAAAACTGTAATCTCAAAATATTACTAATGCGTGTTCCTAACATATTCTTTGACTCTTTCCACAACGAAACATTCCTCATAATTGCTGTTAGCTGCAGGTCTGTAGCTCTCCGAAAAAATATATATATTGATAGATCGGAGAGCTTCAGTGCCACCCATTGAAAAAAACTGCATGTTTATTGCGCACAACAACAGGTTACGCTTAGTAACGCTGTTTATTTTTCAACATCGTAATACTAGTATCATGATGGTTTCACCCGCATTTTTTCAATCAGGGACCTATTTAGGGATAAATGGAGGAAAAATGAGACTGAACAAAAGTGAGCTTGTTTTTGGACTCCAAAACCATGTTGTTTTTAAAATTTGAGGGCGCTGCTTGAAATCTCTGCCTTAACATAACTCTTAAATACTCTGGAAAGTGGTAATCTACATTGTTAATTCGCCATGGAAAACATACTACATGCATGTAATAAAAAGAAAAGAACATCAAAATCATGATGCGATATTTATATCTATAGATTTAACATTCATTTTTTTTCACTTTCATTTTAACAACACTTTCAAATTTTCTCTTCTCTTCTCCACACACTGCCTCCACTTGCCTATCCTCCAATTCCTCGCCGTCAACCTCTACAGTCACCGAAACGCTTACTGTGATGTTCTGGGCAGGCAGACTGTCTCTAGCGGCATCACAGGCCCGAATGAAACCCGTGGGAATATACTTCCTGTTGACATTCATGTCTGTAAAAAATGAAAGATAAACATTTTCCTGAACACATATATGAAATATCTACTTTTACTGGTCTTTTCTAATTACTACATGTATATTAAGACAATGGAACACGAACTGCTATGCAGTTTAGGCCATTTTCATCTGTACAATCAAAACAATGGATTTTACGGATTCAATTCGGCACAGACGAACGGCAAAAAATTGTTTTGAAATTCTAGCTTTATTTCCATTTCAAAAGACTCGAATAGTAGCCATCCATATTTATCGGATTAGAGTGGTCTTCCTTAAAAGTTTTTCCACTCACCAATATTTTACCACAACGATGTCAAATTTGCTGTTTGAAAATTGTCAAATTTATTTTGTAAATATTAAAATTTGTACACTTCCGTACCTATCTTCATTTATAAGGAGTTAATTGATATATATACTAATAAACAGTTTACCAATGTAATCATCCACGGCAGAGATGTAAGGCTCGTACAATTCCTCGGCCATCTCCCAACTTTCACAACCTGTCCGCTTCAAAAATACACTCTTAAGGACGTCTCTTTTTTTCTCCTTCAGGACAATATCTGTAACTTTCTTCAGGTCATGAGGAATTTCAACATTTCTTAAATAGCGTGTAATAATATCCTCACCGAATCCCAGAAGAGCTCTGAACAACTGAAATTAGGAAATCATATTCAATGTGTGAATTGAATCTTTAAATTAACTTTTTGACATTATGGAAATTATGAGGAAAAACTTTTCTGAGAGAGAAAATAAACTCGTAAAAATGTTTCTTTTATAAAAATATTTGATGGTATTCGTAGATTCAAACCCTAGCCCACAGAATCATACTGCGTTGAGACTAACCACTATGCATGATGAATGTCTGGTAGATCATGTTTGTGATGAGACTCTCGACTCAATGGAAGTATTTCTCGGAAATATGAATTGCCTTAAAAGTGTACTTTTAAGGTATATTGGGTATTGCTCCATTTTTTTGTAAACCGAAAAAATTTGAACTTTATCTTTTAAACTTTTAGGAATATCTTTCTAAAAATGGAACGAAGACTCGCTCATATTTAAAAAAATGCTAAAGTATGAGAAAATGATCGGTTTTTTTTTTTCATTTTAGTGTGTCATTTTAGTGTGACTTTCCGTATGAATACATTTTCAGTTTTTGTGGGATTTTTGTACATTGTAGATGTTTTACATTTAGTATACTTTAGTGTTAGACGAAATATAAAAAAACGGGATATTTTAAATTGAGATTTAATTCTTCACGTCTTTTCTGTTGATCTATTGGCTCCTCGCCCGATATAGTTATTAAATTGATGATCATTGAATAATTTCTCCCTGTTATCTAAATATATTGTTAAATTTATACATTTTCAGAAAGCATGGTATAAGAAAATTACAATGTACCTGTTTCGGAACATCTAAGCTTCCAAAGAGCTCAAAAATTCTTTCCACCTCTCTATATGCCTGTTCAGAGTATGAGGCCACCCCATAAACTATGGACAAACTGCTTTTGAGACATTCCTGTTCAAATAAAAAAAATTATATATCACACAGTTTAAGCATATCATATGACAGTAAATGTGTTTTTTAACTTTAAAACAACTTCCCACAGTTTATAGTTATTTCTCAAATTAACAGTTATAAAACTAATTTTATTTTGAAATCCTCTTTTTGATGTTTTAGTATGTAAATTGAAATGAAACCTTTTGTTGTATATGGGACAGAATCACTGCAGTGGTGTCTTTCCACTGGTCCCCAACTTCATCCCTGAGATAAATCGATCTCGCTTGGCGGACTTGATCCTGGAGAATGGATAAAAAGATGAGGAAGTTCTGACGATAACATTTAGCTTTTGCAATTTCAAGTACATGCCGTCATACTACTCACTTGGAAATGTAATGTTTTTGTTGAACATCTTTGATTATGGATGTTCCCCACAAGTTTAGCCTCTTCTGGGGTTAGCCCAACATACAGCTCAATTTCAAAATTTCTGAAAGAAATTCAATTTCTGAAAGAAATTCTTAGAATGCATTTAACTCTCAAACATTTTTTATGTATGCATATCCATTTTCTTTCTATAATAAACCGGTGAACAAGCAATATTGGAAATATGCAGCTTACGTCATTGCAGCCCGGAGGACCGGGCTGCTATCTACATATAAGTTTAAGTTTTATGGTGATTGGGGTGGGAGAAGTTATTCAGAATTAGAGGTTTTCTAAACATTGAAAATATTGTTTAATCAGAATGTTCTTTCCCTTTCTAAATTACGAGATACATAATATATTTACTTCCATAAAGTGAATATGTAAAAATGAATATGTTTTACATATTTAATATAATAAGTTGCTTAACATTTACTATCTAAAAAAAGGACAGATCCCTTTTTTTAGAACATCGAATTTTACATCTCGCATTAAAAAGTACTTTGCAAAGTTCATGTTTTATATTCTAAAAGAGTGTGCTGCAGAAACTCGCGATTATTCCCTATGTATCGAGACAATCGCAACTTCTCGGGCCTTTTCCACTAGCGGAAAAACGACCTCGAATGTATAATTATTACAATAAACACAAATGAAATGGGCGGGTACAATTTTACAAGAGCAACTTCTCTTTAAAAATGGCTTTTAAATTGTTCCTTTTCATGGGCTCGGATCGATAGATCCGAGGCGTGTATTGTTTTTTTTCCTGTCTGTCTGTCGTCCGATTGTTTGTTTGTTTGTTTGTCCGCAAACTTTAACCTTCGCCATAACTTTTGAACCATGAAAGATAGAAGCTTCATATTTGGTATACATACTCCACTAATTAAGTTCTTTCAAATAACACCATAGTCAATGTCATTTTGACCTTGACTGTGGCCTATATGCTATAAATATTTTTTTTTTTTTTTTTTTTTTTTTTTTTTTTTTTTTTTTTTTTTTTTTTTTTTTTTTTTGGCAAACTTTAACCTTCAGCATGTTTGACTGATATTTGTCAAGTGGTTTTTGAGGAGAAGTTCAACATGTTAAAAGTAAAAAGACGGAAAGATAGACGTCGCACAAATTTGATCAGAAATGTTCTTTCTTATGCAGGAAAATAAAATCTGCTCTCAAATCCCATAATATAAAAGTTTGATGACCTACTGGTATTCTGACAAAATATCATTTGCGGGCTCCTCCTGCATAATCTCTCTGCATGCAGTGAGCAAATGGTTCCCGCCTAGGAGGAAGATTGGGATGCCCAAGTCCTCTATGTTGTCTTTCTTAAATTCAGCGGGATCTTTAACCTTTAATTAAAAATATATGGTCATCGTATTCAAATGCTATTACTTGGGTTTATGTTGAAAAACCCGGTTACGAAAATTAAAAGGGGGGGGGTATAAAGTAATCACAAGTTTATGTTTATAAAATCCTTCTCACTATTTTACTCTGTATATTTGGAGGATATATTTTTAAGACAACAAAACTCGAAATATTTGAAATTAAACACCTAGTTTAGTACCTCATTTTATAGCAGCTTCATTACTTAATTTATTTTTATCTTATCAAAGAATTGAAGGAATTTAGTTAAAGGAACAATTTTATCTTGTTTTAAATAATTATATATTGCAAAATAGAATAAACAATTTCATTTTTACCACAGATGGATCTAATAGCGCGGGTAGTGTAGTGATGATCCTCCCAGGCGCTTGCCGAATACTTTTTTTCAAAGTGGCTACCCACTTTCCATCAATGTTTCTACACCTGCAATAAGATTATCTTTTGCGAAAAAGCAACATCGATATCAAGGTAAAGAATTACCCCCTCCCCCCCCCTTTTTTTTTTTAAAGAAAAACAGGTTATAAACATTGTTAGCAAGAGATTAGCAGCAGCAGTGTCTTTTGCTCCGCTTGAAAAATTTACATGCATACTTAAGGTTCATTGATGATATAACCAGTTAACTTTTAATACTAAATATCTTTTATTCCTCTATTACGAAAGCCCAATTACCTCATTTTCGTAGGTAAAAAAATAAAGTTTTCGCGTTATAACCCGAAACTTTTAAAGCCGCTTTATCCGAAACAGGCCAGGCGCGTAGCCAGGCGTACGTTTGTACGCACAAACGTCCACATCATTTTTCTATAAAAAAATGATATCTTATTCGCGAAAGTTACGCGTTATAACGCGAAAACATTATTTTTTTTTTAACCTACGAAAATGAGCTCAATGGGCTTTCGTACTCTATAGATTTGCCAAGTTGAAATGTTTTTTTTATCCAATGTTGCCCCACAAGCTGTGCTTTAATTGTTTGTATTTTAAAATATATCTCGCCCCTCCCGCCTTTCCCTGGCAAAAGTTCCTTAATAAAATATTACCTGTACTCATCTGGGGCAATGGTAAGTCTCCTTTCTTTGACTTGGAAGCAACCTTAAAAAGAATATATATGGAAATCGACAGATATGTAATGGATTACTATATTTTATTAGTTTTTTTTATTGTTTCATTTTATTTTTTTTTCATTATTATCGGCCGCAGCAGCCACGATCTATAAATGTGGTTGTGTTAGAAAGGGCACTTGGGGGAAATGTGACGGTTTTTTTTTTTTTTTGTTCTTTTTTTATGAATTCGGTAAAGCTATCATGCATAAAATCATGAGTATTTTTTTTTACTTCTAAGCAAAACCAAAGATAGACTCTAATTTCTGTTCGGTCAATTCAGTCATTCTTACAAATTCTAGAAACAAAAATTTACAGTAAAATAAGGAATTAATCCATAATCATATATATTTATCATACCTCTAATGATTTTTCACTATATAAAAGTAAATCGATATATTTTGCTGATTTCCTGAAAATCATCGTAAATAAACCGATTCCCTTTATAACAGACTAATTCCCTGTAAAAAAAAAAAAAAAAAAAAAAGCATGTTTTTTTTATGAACTGATACACACCTATTCGGAACGCTTGACATTTTCTTTCAACTTACGACAAACTTAAAAATGTTCCGAATACTAGTACACTCATGAATATTCATTAATCTAAATGAATCGAAATGCATCGCGAGTCAACTGTTCCCATATCAATCCAAAAGAACCAGTTTACTGGTAGCGTATTTCCGTAATGTTTCTTTCGATTTTACTAAGTAAGAACTCGGACAATAAATTGATTTATTAATAGAATGGAATTCCTTTCGTGACTGTAATAAACTATTCTGTTTTGTCGTATTTTATTTTTATCTATTCCTGTTGGAACAAAACATTGTTACTGAATACAGTATTGAATGTAATTTTTTTCAAGTGTTTTGTTGGTATCGGTATAATCAAAGAGTTAACTTATATCATTTCTGGAGTCAGCAAGATTCCAGTTAAATTCCCTTCGAGCAAGCCTATTTCCCTCGGCGCAAACGCCTCGGGAAATAGACTTGCTCTTGGGGAACTGGAATCTTGCTGACTAGCGCAGAGGGAAACAGGCTTACTCGAAGGGAACTGGAATCTTGCTGACTCCCTAAACGATATACTTTAACTGTATAATATGGCTTTTAACTTAACACTTCTTGACAAAGATGACCCAAATACCAAGATGCTTCACATCTAATTCTCAAACCAGCACCTCCCTTGTAAAGGTCATAAATGTTCCGCTGCGCCGAAAATCCAATAGGTCCCCCCCCCCAACTACCACCCTCGTTTCTTTACCTATGTGTCTATAAATTACACTTGACAAAACAATTATAACTTTATCACTCTCCAGTCTTGATAAAAATTTTAAAAATCAGCAAATTAATCATTTGTTCACGGATCCTCTTTTCTGTGTGTGAAAAATTGCTCGGCGCTAGCTCACCTATCTTTTGAAAAGATAAACTTGTGGTCATATAAAAAGAGCTTACAACAGGTTATCCCCAGCCTGAGAGTGTGTAAGATATGAATGGAAATCGTTATGATTTTCCGGGTAATAATGACGTGGTAAAAGTGCATGGTGAATAAAAGTTGAGAAAGTTTTTCGAATAGATAAAAAATTTTGACTAATGTTATTATTGTTCAAATGCTGGAAATTGCAGAGCGCCTTGCGGCATATCCTGTTCTGCAAACACGATGTTCTTTTTGAGAGGCGTACTTCTTCATTTTGGTGACAATAATTTCTTTTCAGTTATCATTAACTTAATTACCTTATGACTTTATGAATCCATTTAATGTTTAAATGTACTGAAATTTCTATTTAAATTTAATATTTTAAAATCATTTATTGAAGACAGTCTGATAAAAAAAAAAAACGATTCGGCACTTGGTCAGCTTTGAATATGGAGTGTTTTCCTTGCATGGATGATTTTAAAAAATTGTGAATTTTGTTTGCGGGCGATTGGATGTTTTACATCAATTTCACTTGTTTTATAAGTAAGTAAGTAAGTAAATTTATTTAAAGTGACATGTGTACAATTAAATTCTTTTGTTTTCAGACTGTATAAAATAACAATCAACATCCGGCCCATCGGGCCTATAAGCCACTTTCAACACAAAATTGAAATACAATATATAAAGAAAATAAGGAGCACAACGTTAAGAGAATAACAAAAAAGTGCATTAAAAATAAACATAATTGTGATAAATATATATATATATGTATGGTTAGATTGGTATTGTCTGTTATAAGGATTATTGGTAAATGAAAATAAAATTGAAATACATGTTTATTTTCTGAACATGAAGGACTGTCTTCGCATAAATGAAAAATACAAGTACTTTGCAACCTGTCTAGGATAATTTGAAATAAGTACACATATAGTAATGCTATATTCATCTGGTGTGTGTGTGTGTGTGTGTGTGTGTGTGTGTGTGTGTGAGGATGTGAGGTGAGGATATGAGTTGAAGGTGTGTGAGTGAAAGGAACGGGAAGCGAGTGCCGAGGAATGGGTTGATACATGTATACACGAACTTACCAACTTTTTTGTCATGCACAATTTCTTGTTCATAGGACAAAACGGTGTCCTTAGGGGAAGCAATACCAGAAGCCTCTGGTATTGCCGTGCGATTTGAACGCCTCTTTTTTCCTTTCGTGGGTGTTATTTTCTTTTTTCCAATAGAGAATGCCTCCAATTTCTTGATAAAATCCGAAGTACTCTGTGAGTTTTCCAACTCCTTTAATGTAACATTTTCACTACATGGTGAATATTTTGATCTAAGCAGTCTTTTCCCCTGTTTGCTTCCAGCAAAACGAATCTGAAATACATATTGAAACTTAAGCGAGAGAGAGAGAGAAAGAGAGAGAGAGATGAAAGAGTTAACACGTAACATGTAACAGCTTTTTAAAAAGTTTGCCTGACTTGATCAATCAATGTCTGAATGAGGAGTATATACAACTTGTTGTGGGTTTAAAATATGTCCTTGCTTTATATTTTGAGAATATTGTGTAAATGAAATCTTGATTTTAATAAACTGTTAAAGAATCATCTATACACGGAGTATATACAACTTGTTGTGGGTTTAAAATATGTCCTTGCTTTATATTTTGAGAATCTTGTGTAAATGAAATCTTGATTTTAATAAACTGTTGAAGAATCATCTATACACGGAGTATATACAACTTGTTGTGGGTTTAAATTATGTCCTTGCTTTATATTTTGAGAATCTTGTGTAAATGAAATCTTGATTTTAATAAACTGTTGAAGAACCATCTATACACTGCATATATTAAAGAATTATCTCTCTCTCTCTCTCTCTCTCTCTCTCTCTCTCTCTCTCTGTGTGTGTGTGGGGGGGGGGGGGGGTGTCTGCAGGTTGAGTGATCTAAATTGATCTCAAACTACAATCTATAAAATCTGTTATCGAATGATGCATTGTTAACATTTTTAAGAAGGATGTAATAAAACACACAGCTTGTTTGATAGTATCTTCTCCACTAAAGTAAACAGTAGTGATACGTGTTCATTAATTTTTTTCTTGAAAAAAGGGTTGGTGTAGTGCCACTTTCATGTATTGAGAATATTATAAGTAAATTCAATACTTAGTCCTTTGTAGAAAGAAGAATCCAAGATTTCCCACTGGTTTCTTATTTATTGTGTGACATATGACAGATCATGCATCTGGAGACCATGACTTATTGAACTGCGTTGTTTATTATTATTGGACTAGTCCATAGGCCTATAAGGAATAAACCAACCGCGGGATCGGGAAACAAATTAGAAAAATCTTTTCTTTAGCGTTGCATGTCCATACGCTGATATGTATGATATGTTGATTAAAAGAATAAGATAAAACATTAACTTGTGTAGATAGAATTTCTTATTGGAAGAAAGTGAAAAGGACAAGCTTTATTTAATTCCATTGAAGTTAGCACACCCATTCATACAACAGATCAATCTAAGGAAAGGGCGCGAAGATAGCAGTGACTTTTGGAGCGAAAAGAGCAATTCACCCCTTTCAGAGGGTATAAATGGACTGATCCTTTACACCGTGTATATCCCAACATGCGGGGTGTATGCTATGTTGTGCGCGGGGTGTATGCTTCCGAAGCGAGAAAAAGGGGGTCAATGTACGTTCTTTGTCCATTTTCTCAACTTACGGATATCTTTCGCCAGAAAGCATATGCCTACGGAAGAAAGCATTATCTAAGGAGTATATGGATACCTATGAATCCACTGGACACCTTCTAGTTTTTTCAAACACTTCAACACAATTCAGAGGATCGGAGCAAGATTGGCGCTACACTGTGTTTATAATCAAATATCAGAACAAAGCTTTGCTTTATCGTCACTTTTGTATTATTGTTAAATACATTTTTACAATATAAACGTTTGTACAAATTGTCTGTAAATAAAACAGTTCGTATATAAAGAAATTGACGAAAAATCAATGTTGTGTCCGGGGTGTATGCAACATGTTGTACGCGGGGTGTATACCCCTCTTTTTACTCTATAGAATCATTGTCTTAAATGTCATTAAAACAAATTGTTAACAATTGACTTTTGTTCTATTTATTTTTTTTAATCACTCATCAGTTTTGTAATAACACAACTTCAGGTTCATGAATTCGATTTACTGGAAATAAAATTGAAACACGTTCATCGTACTTTTGGCTTTGCATACACATAGAAGTAAATGTACAGGGTACTTTGTTTACTTTGTTTAACTGTTAATGTGATGACCAACAATTCATCCCTTCTTTCGATTTAAAGGCACCTAATTCAGATCCTTTCTTCATAAATGCTTCACACATGCATAGGTTTGAACATTTAACATTTCCTCATAATTTCTGTTTAACTTTTTTCAATACTTTTTAAATGAGTTTGAAAATATTTAGCTTTTTGTAATTTCATAAACACCAAAAAAAAATGTTCTCATTCATGTGGTATTTATATATTGTGTACTTTGCCCCCTCAGGAGCCCATATATGGCAGTAAGCTATTTGTTTTATTTTAAGGCATTGTATTTTACTCAATCGGCAATCCTCGGCTGACTCCGCTACGCTCCATACAATCGGCAATCCTCGGCTGACTCCGCTACGCTCCATTCATTTGCGAGGTACGAGTCATCCGACTCCGATTGGTATTTTACTGAGTACATACTTTCTAGGAATGGGCCCGAGGAGGGTTTGTTTGAGTCTAAGTTCCTTTTTTGGGGAGGGGGTAACTTTACTATGTGTATATATGATAATAAATTAGAGGAGGGTGAACATAATTGATATTAATTACACGTCAACGTAAAATTGTAATTGTACCAAAAACCTTTTTTTTTTCAACTGTGCATGCCCTCGGAAAATTGTCATCCATTATTACAGATGTGCATTTTTATAGCCGGCTTTACATGTTTATTGTAATATTTAAAATATGAAATCTTTCCAGATAAGGAAAAATGAGTCGACATATTGCGAAAAATTGAAAGGAAATTAATATACATGTATCAGACAGACACGTAGTATCACCCCCCCCCCTCCCTTTTGTTCCAGTCACAACTTTTTACTACAGAAAATGAAAGTCAGGTTGCCCCACCCCCCTTTTTTCTTGCATCATAGTCAAAAATGGTTATGTAGTATGTTTAAGTAAAAAAAAAAAGGAGAATTGATACTGAAAAAAATGGGACCTTCAACCCCAACAAATAGGAGTTTGAGTTTCGATAAACCCCCCCTTTTTTTTTAAATAGTTAGTCAACTTATGTCAAGGTTTTTTTTTTCAGGTATCCCCCCCCCCTTCAAAAAAGATTCTACATCACTGACATAAATGCTTAAAAATATATGTATTGATAACATAAATGTTGCAGAAACAAAAAAAAAAAAAAACAAAAACAAAAACAAAAAACCGATTTATTCATAATACACCATTCATGTAGAGTTTCTATTATTTTTTACAGGCGAAATATTTAGATTAAAACGAACCAAAGAAAGGACAGTGTCTTACATGCAGGGATTTTGGGAGGGGGGGGGGGCGAGGGACCCTTTGGAGAGATTTTATGATTGCGTAGATTAATATTTAGATCATTGCACCATCTACAATGTAGCATTTAGTCAGATAACAATCGCTCCTTGCACATCTAGCGCCTTTTATGTTTGAATATGATAGTTTGTTTTTTATTCTTTTTTAAATTTAGTTGATTTGTTTTTTACTTCAGTAAGTTTATGGAAATAACTCTTTGGTTCGGCATTAGTTTTAAGGTTTTTTATCAACACTATATATCTGTCACTTTTAAACCTGTGTGAATATAATATTTCCATGGCATTGATACTTTGCACTATACAATCCTAAGAAAAATATGGGGTATACACCCCGCATACAACATGTTGCATACACCCCGGACACAACATTGATTTTTCGTCAATTTCTTTATATACGAACTGTTTTATTTACAGACAATTTGTACAAACGTTTATATTGTAAAAATGTATTTAACAATAATATAAAAGTGACGATAAAGCAAAGCTTTGTTCTGATATTTGATTATAAACACAGTGTAGCGCCAATCTTGCTCCGATCCTCGGAATTGTGTTGAAGTGTTTGAAAAAACTAGAAGGTGTCCAGTGGATTCATAGGTATCCATATACTCCTTAGATAATGCTTCCTTCCGTAGGCATATGCTTTCTGGCGAAAAATATCCGTAAGTTGAGAAAATAGACAAAGAACGTACATTGACCCCCTTTTTCTCGCTTCGGAAGCATACACCCCGCGCACAACATAGTATACACCCCGCATGTTGGGATATACACGGTGCTTTAGTAGTAAAGAAATCAATGCAGAAAGAAAGGAAAACGGACATGTTGAAACGGTGAATCACATCATGAAATTATTAATCCTTATACAGCCTGACGTCGTGACGACAGGCAATTATCTATTAATGAAGGATGTCAATTTATTCTAAACCCAACCCCCCTGTCTAAGTAATGTGATATTCCAGTTTGAATACCAGGTTTTATTTTACAGGCCTGTTTAACGTTGGTTTCAGCATATTCCATTGCTTCTTGTTACAATGAATTCTATTGGTCAATTGCGGCTAAATTTGGCGGGAGTTATTCTCATGACTTTATATTGATTTCATATTAATTTCATTGTGATACACAAAAGGATGGAAACAAAGTTTGAGCAAATTACAAAGTACATTTTCTCGTGTTAAGTTACATGTAACACAACTTTCATGGTAAAGAAATATTTGAAATTCGCATAAATAGATACATTCCTGATTTAATTGTGAAATGGATTGTATAGGAAAAAAGACAAAGTGTCAACAACCACTTACGACACAATAAAAATATAGGCTTATGCCTAGATTGATGCATATTTTTTGGAACTACATGTGCATTTTGATTGAAAATGGTGCATTTTGTAAAGTTTCTTTGATGTGCAAAAATCTCTATCCCTCCGTAAAAAAATGAATTTTTGAAATTTTAGTTTAGTTTATATGACTATCACATTATTGTCAATCATTAGATGAAAAATTAAAATGAAATCAGTTAATTTAATTCAAAGTTTTACGCGAGGATACATAGGAACATATCTTTCAAAGTCTCCTTTTCTACTGAGAATTAGTCATATTGATACCCTAATATGTATGGGGGTTTTTTTTGGAATTAAAAAAGGTGTTATGAAGCATTCACCATTTTAATTTTTTTTTTACAAATAACTTGAACAAACAGTTATTGTTGAATCGCTTTATGAAGACTGGGTTTGAATTAAAAAAAGAAATAAATTTTTTTACAAAAAGAAAATGCGACATCGCAGATCGATTCATATAACTATTTCTCTTATCTATGAATATATATTGTAAGTAAAAATCAGGTGGTGAATAAATAATGGTCCTCTTTTCGGTCCGTCTTACATTGTAGCTGCAGACTTGTAGCTCTCTGTAAAAAGAAATTCGAAAGTCTATCCGATTTTTTTTTTCAGCATGGGGGCTGCAGATTTGTAGCTAGGTCTACCCGTACTCCGTACACACAGTGTCAAAACAAATAGTTCTCCAATGTTTAAGCCTAACATTATTTATAATTCTTAATGTATTCTTTTCCAATTCTTACAAAATGAAAAGAAGTAAACTTGGATTTCCGAACTACAAAAGAAATGTTAAAGTTCTTACCCAAATTTCATCTGCTGTTCTCCCATGGTCCACAAACTCTATTTTACCATATTCATCATGTGTATCAATGCTAATCGCCTTCTTCCCGTTAATAACTACATAAACGTCCCCGTTTTCTTCCTCGAGCCCCCACGCCATTTTCAGGAGTTCCCTTTCGGTAGCAGACTAAAGTTTTTTTTTTCATTATGACGTCACCACAAGTATCGGTGCGCATGTGAGGGGGATCTATACCGCGGGAATTTAAGACGCCATTTTCTCAAGACGCAGACATCAAGATAGAGAGAGATCAAGATAGAGAGATTTGCTGAAGATCCTGAAAGATATTGAGATTCTTGAAACAAAATGTGGACCGATTGTGATATGGAGTGAGGTGAATACCTTTATATTAGTTCTTGAATAGGAAATAAACACTTTTTATACATATTTATTTATGCCTAATGGGCAGTATATAAGCTATAGGCTACCGGAAGAGTAACCATTAAGACTTCAATGAAAGGAAAAGGGGGGTGGTCCAAGTAACATAAAATCATGTCAGGGAGCTGTATTACATGGCTAAAATCTGTCAGTGGTATAAATACCCGACAGATAGAATAAATCAAGATGAATTTTGTGAGCGTATTAAATATGCATGTAGGCCTATGTGTGTGTTTTTTATTGGGGGGGGGGGGGGGGGGGGGGGCTATGCTGGAAAGTAAATATGGGCAAATATAGTATGCTTTAATTAAACCCCCTCTCCCCCAGTACCGTACAATATATTGATAACCAAGGGAGTTGTGAATTTAAGACTTCAATGAAAAGAGAAAGGGGGTTCCAAATGACATAAAATAATGTCATGCCACTCGTGGAGCTGTAGTAGCTGTAATAACTAAATTAGTCAGTGGTATAAATACCCGACATATATAGAATAAATCAAGATAAATTTTGTGAGCGTAATCTCACCCCTCAATAAAAAAAAACCCCAAACAAACAAATGCACACACACACATGCAGAATCTGCATAATGTGTGTGTGCATTTGTTTATATTTTTTTAGGGGGGGGGGGTATGCTGGTAAGTGAATTTGGATAAAAATACTATGAAACATGTTGTGCTTCAACACCCTCTCAATATATTGATAACGTATTT